GTCCTCAAAGCCACATCCTGCTCTTCAATCCTCTAAAGGGTTCTTGTGCAACAATTTACCTAAAGCAACACATCATTTGGCCTCTTGATGACTGCTTCCATGAGCATTGATTGCGGACCCAAGCAAGACAACATCCCTGACAAGTTCAACCTTTTCTCCATTGATCATAACAGTACCCATTGTGAGGATTTTGGTCATCTTTACATTGAGTTGCAACCCATACTGAAGGACGAAATCCTTGATCTTCACATTAGCAAGTGCTTCAAGTCCTCTTCACTTTCAGCAAGCAAGGTTGTGTCATCTGGCACATTTCAGGTTGTTAATAAGCCTTCCTCTAATCCTGATGCCACACTCCTCTTCATATAAGCCAGCTACGTGGATGATTTGCTCAGCTACAGGCTGAACAAGTGTGGTGAGAGGATACAACCCTGACACACATCTTTCCTGGTTTTAAACCATGCAGGATTCCTTTGTTCTGTTCACAAGTTCTGCATGAGCCCATTGAAGTGTTCTGGAATTCCCATTCTTCTCAAGGTTATCCATAGCTTTTTAAAAAATTAAATCATTTTATTTATTTTAAAAATCATTTTGTTGGAGGCTCTTACAGCTCTCATAACATTCCATACATCAGTTGTATCCAGCATATTTGCACATATGTTGCCATCATCATTTTCTAGACATTTACTTTTTATTGGAGTCCCTGGTCTGTAATTTTTTTTAATCATTTGATTGGGGGCTTGTAGGTTATCATAGTTTTTATGGGTCGCACAGGTGAATGTCTTGGCATAGTCAATAAAAACAAGTAAACGTCTTTCTCTGTGCCTTTGAGCCAAGATCCACCTGACATCAGCAATGATGTCCCTTGTTCCACCTCCTCTTCTGAATCTGGAAGCTCCCTGTCAATGTACTGCTGCAGCCATGGTGGGATGCCCTTCAGTGACATGTTACTCGCGTGTGCTGTCAAGGACACTGCTGTGCAGTTGGAGCGGTCTGTTGGGTCACCTTTCTTTGGAAAGGGCACACAAATGGATCTCCTCCAGAAGTCACTTGGCCAAGTAGCTGTCTTGCCAGTGCTTCCAGGGCTCCATCAGCTTCCTGTACTGTTTGGATTGGTATTCCATCCGTTCCTGGAGCCTTGTCCTGGCTAATGCAGTGGTTCTCAACCTTCCTGATGCCACAACCCTTTAAAACAGTTTCTCATGTTGTCGTGCCCCCCAACCATAAAATTATTTTTGTTGCTACTTCATAACTGCAATTTTACTACTGTTATGAATCGGGCGACCCTGTGAAAGGGTTGTTCAACCTCCAAAGGGCTCAGGACCCACAGGTTGAAAACTGCTGGGCTAATGCTTTCAGGGCAGCTTAAAATGTCTTCCTTCAGCCCCGTGGGTCTTGCTCGTATGCTGCCTTCTGAAATAGCGGACTGTTGACGAGCTCTTTTTTGTCCATTGGCTCTGTGCATTCTTTCCATCTTCTCTGGATGCTTCCTGCACCGTTCGACCTTTTGCCCATAGGCTACTCCAGGCTTGAATTTTTTCTTGAGTTCTTTCAGTTTCAGATATGCTGAGCGCATTTTTCTCGTTTGGTTTTCCAATTCTAGTTCTTTGTATATTTCCTTATGATATTTGGCTTTGTCTTCTTGGGTTGCCCTTTGGAAATTTCTGTTCAATTCTTTGACTTCATCCTTCCTACCATTTCCTTTAGATGCTCTACAATTAAGAGCAAGTTTCAGAGTTTGTTCTGAAGCTTACAGGAGCAGAAAGCCTCATCTTTCCCCTGGGGATCAGCTGGTGGTTTTGAACCGCTGACCTCGTGATGATCAGCTCATTATATAACCTTCTGTGCTACCAACGTTCCCAGGGGAGGGTACACCACTCAGCAACTCACCTCATTGCCCTCAAGTCGATGCTGACTCATAGCTACTGTGTTAGGCCAGGTTGACTAGAGAAACAAATCCAGAGACATTCATGTATGCACAGAAGAGAGCTCTATATTAAGAAGTCATTATATATCAAGCAAACATCCCAGCCCAGTCCAGCTCAAATCCAAAAAAGTCAGATCCTAGTCCGTAAGTCCCTCTTCAGACTCACGCAGCCACATGCAATGATGCAGAATGCAGGACGATCACAGGCCGGTGGGTGCAAAGTCTTGTGGATCCAGTGGCTGATGCAGCATCACAGGGCTCCCACAGGTGTCAGCATGGCTCATCAATAGGAAGGTGAAGGCGGGGTTGGGGTTGGGGGTAAAGCCACACCCACAGGGAGGCACCATCAGGCTGTGACCTGGTTGAAAGGCTAAACTCCACCCCACACTTTCATATATCTTCAAATGGACATGAAATTATGTAACTACTGCAGCACCCCAGAGGGCAGGGTGGAACTGGACTTCCCCCTGAGTTCCCAAGACAGTAACTATTGATGGGAGTAGAACATCCTGTGTTTCTCTCATGAAGCTACTGGTGGTCTCAAACTGCTGATCACAACCCAACTCACAACCATTACACCAGGAGGGCTCCTAGATAGAAATAGAGTTCTGTCGTTTGTTAAGTACCTGGTTTGTGGTAATGTTGTGTCTCTGGAGATTTACACAGCTGTTCTTGTTAGGGCCTTTTAAAACAGCATTCTCTGTGACATGCCCTTCATCTCTGGCTTCGCCAAGTGATGGACAGCAGGCACCCGTGGCTGGTGTCTTCCTAATCCTATATGCCTCCCAATATTAGGTACACCTAAGGATCCCTGGCCAACACCCAGAGGTCGGTCTGTGTTGGAAAGCTACTTTCCCCACAGAATTTGTGTCTCGCTCCCAGGTCCTGTTGGGTCTCCCGAGTGACTTGAGGCTCCCTGTCATTTCGGGGAGAGTTCAGGGTGACGCGATGAGGGATCTGGCTACACCAGAAAGAACCAGCCCGCGACATCAGCCCAACTCAGGGGAGAGGTGGGAGCTGGAAAATGCGCTCACAGTCGCGGAGCCAATGGTCCACGGGCCTTTCATACAATCCCAGCGCTGAAGCTCGGCAGGGCTTCCTGGTCGACAATGGAGACCAGCACACTGGAGTGGGTAAGCTTGGGACAGAAGAGCTCACCTTGAGCATCCTCTTCTGTGGGTCTCTCCATTTGAACCCCTGGTGGACTGGTGGTTCTGCATGGGGCTGCCTTCCACAAGGTCAGCTGTTCGAAACCACCAGCTTCTCTGCTGGAGAAAGAGGGGGCCTTCTCCTCCCATAAAGAGTTACAGTCTTGGAAACCCACAGGGGCAGTTCTACCCTGTCCTTTGGGTCTGTATGAACGGGCATCAACTCAACAGCAGTGCGTTTTGAGTCTTTTAAAAACATTTTATTGGGGGCTCTTACTACAATCCATATATATAGCTCCACTGTGTCACACACATCTGTACATATGTTGTCATCATCTTTTTCAAAACATTTTCTTTCTACTTGAGCCCCTGGCATCAGCTCCTCACTTTATTTCCCCTCCCTCTCCCACCCTCCCTCCCCCATGTCCTCATGATAATTTATAAATCCCCCCCACCCCCCATGTCTTACACCAACCGCTGTCTCCTTTCACCTGCTTTTTAATTGGAAGAGTTACGGTCTCAAAAAACCCGCAGGGCAGTTCTATCCTGTCCGATAGGGTCACTGTGAGTCGGAATGGCCTCAAGGCCAGTGAGTTTGGTTTGTTTTGATGATGAAAGGAAAGAAAAAGCAAGGACTGCCGCCCCCTCCTCGGCTCTGCTGTCAGCCTGACCCTGAGTTTCCTCTCCTGGTGCCAGGGCTCCAGGGGCACCTAGGGCAGGCAATGATGCCCAGCACCTGCTCTCTGGACAGCGAGAAAAACCGGTGTCCCACCTACCATGTGCTTTTCCTGCCTCAGCGCCGAGTCCAATCGCAGCAGGTCCTTTAAGTGAAGGCTGTAGACGCACAAGTTAATGTCTACACTGAAAAAGAAGACGGCACACGGAGGAGCCTTGTACTGCATCTGTGGTGCGGGCTCAGGGTGCAGGCGCGGGTGCGCAGGCCTGGCAGCTCGGACTCCCCAGGCCCCTTTAAGGAGGAATCACCCTCAAAGGCTTGGTTGCTCACTTAAAGGTCGGTGGTTCGAACCCCCTGGGCGCTCCCTGGGAGGAAGATGTGCTCCCATAAGGCTGCGCCTCAGACACCCCAGGTCTCCTTTATCTAGATGGCTGCACTGAGACAGGAGCAAATCGCAGGCAGTGAGTGGGCTTGGCTTTCGTTACCGGGGCGCCTAACGAGGAGCCCTGGCGGTGCTGTGGTTAAAGCACTCCACAGCTCAGGAAAAGGCCGGTGGTTCGAACCCCCCAGCTGCTCCAGAGGAGTCTGTGGCTGTCGGTGGGTGTAAAGGTGTCAGCCTGGGCCACGCTGTGGGCAGTCGGTCTTCTCCTGGATCGGACTGGGCAGCAGTGGGTTATAGAACGTGGGGCGTGATGACGCAGGGGGGAGCCCACCCTTGGGTTACAGGGTGGAATCAGATGAGCTACGAGATGCCCATGGATGGGGTCAGCCAGGGTGGGGGGCACAGCTGCCTGTGACATTAGAGCCCGAGTGCTGGCAAACCGACCCACACAGGCACCAGGAGCCAGGTTTTGACCCTGGGCCGCTGTGTGTCCTCGGCTGAGAAGCCTAACCTCTCTGAGCCTCCGTTTCCTCCTCTGCCAATGCTATGACCCATGGGTTGGCTCAGAGAGGGCCAGAGGGACTGCCTTACTCCTAACCCCGCCCCCCAACATCCCTGAGCCCCATCTCCACCCACCAGGGTCAGCGCCTGGAGACCCTGCCTCCCCCAACATGCTCCTCTCCTCCCAAGACTTCCCCTCCCCAGTACGCCCTTCCCCTGTCCCCACATGCGCCTGGCTTTCTGAGGCCCTGCCTCCCTAGTGCTCCTTCCCTCCTGAGGCCCCGCCTCCCCAGTGCTCCTTCCCTCCTGAGGCCCCGCCTCCCCAGTGCTCCTTCCCTCCTGAGGCCCCGCCTCCTCCCACATGCTCCTCCTCCCACGTTCTCTCCTCCCTTTCCCAGGCCCCGCCTCCCCGTGATCCTTCCTTCCTGAGGCCCCGCCTCCTCCCATAGGCTTTTCTCCTCCCTTCCCCCAGCCCCGCCTCCCCATGATCCTTCCCTCCTGAGGCCCTGCCTCCTCTCACATGCTCCTCCTCCCACGTTCTCTCCTCTTCCCTCCCCAGGCCCCGCCTCCCCAGGCCCCATTCCCGAGGCCCCGCCTCCTGCCCATTGCTCCTCCCTCGCAGAGG